CCCCCCCGCCCTTAGAGCCCCCCCCCTCCCTCACCTGGCTTTTAAGTAGTAGAGCAGGTGGTAGCCGATCTTGGGCTGCTTCTGGTAGAGCTCAGACAGGACGTCCAGCAGGACGGAGAAGCTGCTGTTGTCTTCCTGCATCTGGCAGAGATTCCTGAAAACGGGGGGAGGTAAACGGCGGGCGCGGGGTCATTCACGCCCGCGCGGGAACCCCGGTGTCGCACGGATGTCCTCCCGCAAGGTTGAGAGACGGAAGGAAGGAAGGAGGACAGGGGGAGCAGGGAGAGACGCTTCGGGGTAGTGGTTTAAGGTGCTGGCCGAGAAACCAGGAGACGGGGAGTTCTAGTCCCGCCTTAGGCACGAAAGCCGGCTGGGGGACTCTGGGCCAATCAACCGGGAGACGGGGAGTTCTGGTCCCGCCTTAGGCATGAAAGCCAGCTGGGTGACTTCGAGTCTTATCACCAGGCGACTGAGAATTCTAGTCCCGCCTTAGGCATGAAAGCCAGCTGGGTGACTTTGAGTCTTATCACCAGGCGACTGAGAATTCTAGTCCCACCTTACGCACGGAAGCCAGCAGGGTGACTCTGGACCAATTTCTAGGAGACTGGGAGTTCTAGACCTGCCTTAGGCGTGGAAGTCAGCTGCGTGACTTTGGGCCAATCACCAGGAGACTGGGAGTTCTAGTCCCACCTGCCCCACGAAAGTCAGCTGAGTGATTTGGGGCCACCAGGAGACTGGGAGTTCTAATCCTGCACTGGACACAAAAGCCAGCCGGCTGACTCGGGACCAATTACTAGGAGACTGGGAGTTCTAGTCCCACATAAAAAAAGTCAGCTGCGTGACTTCGGGCCAATCACCAGTAGACTGGGAGTTCTAGTCCGGCATTAGACACAAAAGCCAGCTGGGTGACTCTGGAGCAATTACTAGGAGACTGGGAGTTCTAGTTAGGCATGAAAGCCAGCTGGGTGACTCTGAACCAGCGCCTCCTCCCTCAGCCCACCTCGCAGGATGATTGTTATTGTGGAGAAAATAGGAGGAGGAAGGTGTGTTTGGATCTGTTCGGCACCTAGAGTTACTTCTACAGTACCGGATAAAAATCTAATAAAGGAATGAACGGAAGGAGACCTACCTAAATATTAAGTACAGCGGCTTTCCTACGGATTCTTCCAGAGATCTGTGCGAAAATACAAAAAGAGAGATCTGGGTGGTTTGGGGGAGTTAACAAACCAGGTTTCCTCCTGGCTTATTCTCACAAAAATCAAGAGTACGAGTGACAAGACGGAGGATTGACTATCTTGTACATGTGGCAACAAGGCAGGGGATCGACTATTCCTTACATGCGGCAAGAACAGGGGATCGACTATTCGTTACATGCGGCAAGACAGGGGATCGACTATTCTTTACATGCGGCAAGACAGGGGATCGACTATTCCTTCCATGCGGCAAGGCAGGGGATCGACTATTCTTTACATGCAGCAAGACAGGGGATCGACTATTCCTTACATGCGGCAAGGCAGGGGATCGACTATTCGTTACATGCGGCAAGACAGGGGATCGACTATTCTTTCCATGCGGCAAGACAGGGGATCGACTATTCTTTCCATGCGGCAAGACAGGGGATCGACTATTCTTTC